CTAAACTATGGTATGTTTAATCATTTACTGAATAATCCAGAATTGACTGGGTTATCAACTAGTTGAAAGAAAACCAAACAAACCACAATAGGGCTTTGCATGATATGCAAAACCATTTACTGTGACATAACTTCCAAGTAATCATTCTTAGATTAGTCTGACTCATAACTCATGTAGCTCTTTCTGTTGTTTTTTTATTTAGCTTTAGAACTTTTCCCTCATCTCATTAAAATTAAATACCAATTTTGCCTTGAACATCAAATGGCATAAAAAACCTTATTTATCACAGGAACATGCCACTTTTAACTCTTCTAGCTTCAAGAAACACAAACATCCCTGAAGAGTTCCGTTTATTGTGTGGTTGTTACATTGAACTACATGTGTGTGTATGTGTGTGTGTGTGTGTTTTAGACACTTGACTTTTGACATCAGTCGCAAACAGAGAGAATGCCTCCTCTCTTGTTGATTTACTTACTTATCTCATTCTGAAAGACCTCTCAGAATGCTTTGAATACTATATGTGTTTCTGTGGGTTGGGTTAGCATTTGGTAACTTGGGTTATATTTTAAAAACAGCAAAATGGCCATGAGATAAGCGTTGTTTGACTTAATAATTCAAGGTCTGCTTTAGTTTTAGATAAACAGGCATGTTTGCAGGGCAAGCAAGGATAAAGGAACAATGGCATTTTGCTTTATAAGGGCCATAGTTTTAATTACTCATTCCTTTCACAAGTAGGCTACAAGGATTGGCTAGATATATTGGGTTGGCTTTGGGTAGTTCTTATAACTATCAATAATTCAATTCAGCCACTGTGCTGGACATATACACCATGTGATTCATAGGGTGTACCATCTTTATGCTATTAGTCATACAACTGAAAAGGAAAGCAAATGATACTTAAAACTCACATACCTATTCAGCCTTGTCTAAAAAGGGTTCCAAAAGGAAGACACTGTTTCTGGATTACTGTGATTGTTATCATATGTTACTATTTATTTAGGTGATTTAGAAACTTAAATCCTGCAAAGACTTTAAATGTGGTGATTCATTTAACAACGAAATCTATTAGTTACATCCATTTATGCAAAAGCCTCTGAAAAATAATGATTTGCAGAAGCATGTTTGTATGAAAGTTTCATGTGTTTCTATGAAGAAACAAAAATGCATGGATCCAGCTGAAAGCCTAGCTAATAAAACCATCTGTTGCATAGGGGCAATCAGATGCTTTTTTGAAGCCCCATCTAGCCCCATCTGAAGAATAGCATTGTCCTGCTTTGTTTACCAAACAAATCATATCCATAAACTCATCTGATTCCTACACTACATCAGCTAAACTGTGGCTTATTTAATTCTGGCAATGTGTTATCAGAATTAAGCCATTGTAACTTATGACAGTCTTGTTGTGAAACTCATTTTCACGTATAGTTTGTTCGATAAATTTAAACAAACTATGGTTTAGAGTGCTGTTCAACCTTGCCACTGCTCCAATACTGAAGGACAAAACAGACTTCTTGACTAGTAGCTAACGATAACCTTAACATTTATAAATTTCTCTGATATTTTTTGAGCCAACTAAGTTGAGATTGTCTTTCTTTTTTTTTCTTCGATTACATACATGACATAATTCATGTTAGGCTTAATTGTACTATTAAAATAAATAAACATAACATTTACTTGGGAATTAGTCCCACTGCATCTGCTGCTTTTTATTCTCAGATGAGTATTAAGATTATACAGTGCTACAGATTCAAAGGCAAAGAGATGCTCGTGCAGTGTTGCAGATAGCATCTGGTTGCAACTCCATAATTTTTGTTTTGGATCATGCTATAGCTGCAAAGAGCATTCATACCATACCAGCTGCATTGAGGAATTGTGATCAGATGCCATGTGAGTATCCCATGTACTCCAAAATACTTTTTTATCTTGAAATCAAAAGGGTTACACCTACAGCTTCATTGAGCAGGGACTTACAGATCAAATTGCTTGTCAGCAAATTATGAATATATGAGAATAAGAATTCCAACTTGTAATTGTATACATAGCTAGTCCTTAATATACCACCATTTGTTTAACAAGGGTTCAGAGTGAGTTACGACCCGTTCCAACTGTGATATCACTCCCATGAGCACACGGTTGTGATTTGGGCACTTGGCAACCAGCTTGCAATGTGACCAGTTGCAATGTCCTGCTGCCACATGATTACGATTTGGACCTTTCCAGCAAAGTCAATGAGCAGAGGAGATTCATTTAATGACCACAAAATTCATTTGACAATTATGGTAAATGATTATAAAATTGGGTGGTCGTGTAATGACTCATTTAATGACTGCATTTCTTAATGATTGAAATTCCAACCCCAACTATGGTTGTAAGTTGAGGACTACCTTTATGTGGGGGTATTTTTGGCTTAGGAAGAAAAATTAGGTTGATTTTGTCCCAAAATATTGCTGACCAGTAATTGAATAGCTTGTTTTTTGAGGTATAGTGTGTGGAATGAAACTGATGACAGATTTTAGGCACTCTTTGACAAATGCAGCAATTATCAATGTTATCTATTGTACTTTTACTACATAATGGATACCATTTTGAATTGTGTCATTCAAACATCAGATTATATTCCTGAGCAATATTCAACAAGTACACTTAAAATTATGTTCAAAAACAAAAGATACACAAAAAATGAAACTTGGACCTATACATACGCATCTATGTATAGATTATATGTGCAGACATATATTTATTTCCTTTTTTCTTTTAGTTGTTACTGGCTTTGCCATTATTTTATTTTTTTCAGTGTCCATTTTCCACTTTTTTTTATTTTGTCAAAGGAAAAAAAACCTGATATATAAGCCATCTTATATATGAGTTTTGAATGCTTTTTCAGATGTCATCCCAGAAACATAGACAAGCTGATAAGGCATTATATTGTGTGCCTACTTTTGTCTTAATGTGTTGGGTGAACTCAGATTATGGTTTATAAAACCTGTAATGTGAACTAGCTAGTTGTAATTTAGTGAATAAAACATGATCAGATGAAATATGCATAGTTTGCAGCAGTGTGCGAACACAGACACAACATCGTTTGTGCTTAATTCAGATTATGAACTTTTGAATCAAGTAGACATATTGGAATAAGTATTTCTACAAGACTGCAGACTTACTCATTTTGTTAAATTTCAATATAATTATGTTGTGTTTCTTATTTTCTTTGTGGTTGGCAAATCACAGTCAATATCAGCTTCTTGAACCATTTTCATAACCTATACAAATATTCTTTTTCCAATATGAAAATGGATTCTTAGTTTGGGGGAGGGAGTGAAATTGTCTCTGAGAATCACATCAAATGTGGGAGAGCCGAAATAAGAAAATTGTATTTTGTTCATATAGTTTAGAATAAACCTCTGGATAGCATTCACCTGAAAAAAAAATTTTTTTTTCAATGACCTTAGTTGAGACCTGACACAAGATCCCTATTTGCCCAACTTGGGGGCCTCCTTCATTGTGTCACTTTCATTTCAATGATCAGGGATTCTGAAAATTAGAGACTAAAACAACTTGAATCATGTGACCATTCCAGGTTTATGGCAACATCTGAGTTCATAAAATGTGATGAACCCAAACCAAACAAACCATACTACAGTTTGGAGAGATTGTGATTCTATCTCTGACTTTCTGATCTCAAATCTGGCCATTTTATACACCTAATGAAGAAAAGCAGCGACCTGTCAGTGTCTCACTGGCTTGGTTTGCAGGGCACCTGGAACCCCACCAACTATCCAGCCGCATTTTAATCTGACTGTGCAAACCTTATGATTCTCTCTATCAAGCAAGCTCAGAAAACTCCATTTGAGTTAGCATTTTTATAGTAACCCCAGGTAAGACTATTAGATGGGCAGAGCAACTATGTTCAGGTACAGCTCGTTCCAGTTCAATTCCCAGAATTATTGCCTGCATCCTATTAGCTGTATTTAATTAGGAGCGAGATCTAGTGGATTCACGGGGACTTGCTTCAGAATTGAACTGACCCTTCAGGAAGTGTTGTCTTTAAGATGCCCGCCCCAACTCGACCCTGCTTGAGTATTTTCGTTAAGCAGAGACCAGCAGGTGCTATCTTGTAGTTGCAGTTTTTGGAAAGGCAAAAACTGTCAATTTTTTTTTTTATTTTTATTTTTTTGAAACGCGGAAGGGTGGCGCGCGCGCTCTCACACACACATCCTGAAGTGACTTTCAGGCTCACCCACATACCACGTAGGCTGGCGGGGAGGGGAAAGAAAGAGGGAGAAGCCAGTCAGAAACAACCGGAGGAGGAGGGCATGTGCAGCGTTTGGGACTCTCCAAGTGGTGGAAGGAGAGAGGCCGAAGGAGGCGGCAGCCTGAGAATTTCTGAGGGCTCACAGGCCTCTGGCTGGGCGGCGGAGAGAAGAGAGCAGGGGCGCCGCTGCCGGGGAACGCGCGCGTGGGTGGAAACGCCGACCTAACTCCGCGCTTGCTTCGCAATTAGGGTCGCGGAGCAATAAAGCCCCCCTCTCTTTTCTTCTAACCCCCCCCACCCACCACCTCCGCTAGCCCTGCCTTCTGTGGCGGCTAGTCTCCGCTGGCCCTGCCCACGTTTTCCTCGTTCCCTCCCTCCCCCCCGCGGTCATGTGTTGCCTTTTTTTTGTTGTTTGCAGTGGAAACAATTTCGCCTTCTTCTAGCACCTCCGACCCAAACCGCTACTCGCTCAAACGGGGTGGCCGGGAGGTGGGGGGGGAGAGAAAGCAAAGGAAGGGGAGCCGGCAGGAGCGTGAGACGAAGCAAAGGCGGCGTGTGTGTGTGTGTGTGTGTGTGGGGTGAAACTGCAGCAGGGTCCCATGCTCGCTTCAGATTTCCTTTTCGGCTCTGGGCTCCCCTCGCTTTTTTTTCCCTTTGGCCACATTGTTGGCTTCAGGCTGGGGGGGGAGGAAGCAATGCCTCGTTCAATCGGATGAAAAGTTTGCATCATGATCGCGGCCAAGGCGGCAGGGAAAATCTAGAACTCACCCAGGACAGGTAAGTTTAGATTTTTTTAAAAACATACGTGTGCCTGCGTGCGTTGAGTCTATGGCGGGGCGTTTTTGTCTTTTCTGCTTTCTGGGTAGATTCCCGTTGATTTCAACTATCATTTCTTCGCTGGGAAGATTGCGTAAGAATTCTCTGCATTGGAATAGGAAGAAGGGGAAAGCACAGAGAGGCAAGAAAAGGTGGATTGGGCGCAAGACGCAGCAAAAATCAGTTTGGAATGTCTAAAAACAACTTCCTGTTCGTCTTGAAATAAGGGGATGTAAATTTGTGTTGTCAGGTGAAGCGGGTCGAACCGAGAGTTTGCAGGCACGACCCGAATGTGTAATTTTGTTACTGCTCCTCTAGTTCTAACTGCTAAGACCCTTGACGAATAGAGTTGGTATTGTGTTTTAAAGTTGGGGAGGGGGGGGGGAGTTGGAGGACGAACTCGACCTTTACAACATCTCTAATAATTATTCTTTTTCTTTTTCCTTTTTGCGACAGGGATCGCTTCCAATCGCTTCCTGTAGTTTGGGGGGGGGGAGCATTTTTTTTCAGTCTTAAGTTTTAAAATCCCGTCGTTTGGTTTTTTTAAGTAGTAGTACGAGTTTTAGCATGAAGACGGCCAATTTTTGAAATGATTTTTTTTTAGAGAAATAGATTCGTAAGCTCTTGGGGGGGGGGAGGCGTATATGGTGGCGTGATGTAGAAGAAGATAGGCCAATGCAAGGTTTAAGATATCTGACCAGCATTGAAGGTATGTTCGCTGCAAATGGCACTGTATAGACATAAGTGCAGTTTTCCAGTCGCCTAGCAACGCTATTGATTGATTTGAATCCCAGCCAATCAGCGGCGTCCTTCTCCCCTTCAAATGTTTTTGACAAGTACAGAAGGGAGTGTAGGCAAAGTGCAGTCTCCCTGACTGCTCTCTTCTTCCCTTAAAAGTATTGGCCTGCTGTTTTGTTATTTCTTTAATATATATATATATATATATCGATTCAAATGTAGTCTTCAAATATATGTCACTGCATAGATATGCGTTATTTTGAGAAACAGCAATAACTAGTAATTCTTCCTTTTTGTACATTGTTTCAGTTTTTACAGTTCTAAATATTAAAAACAGTGGCTCTCTCAAGCAACAGTAATGTTGATTTTACACATAGTGATGTCAAATTCTGGGGACATCTGACAGAGCTACTTCTTTACAAAATATTTGTTGCTAATTTGTGTCTAATTGTTTGGTTAGAATTCTTCACACACACACACACCCCCTGTATTTCGTTAATTAAAAATGGCAGGAAAGTTATTCCTTTTAGAGCTAGAATCCAGTTGAGGAAAACTCAGCTGTGTTTCTAAAATTTATTTTGCTGTTTACTTTTTTCCTTCATGTAAATCTAAACTAGAATTTCTCTTTTCCATAATTCAGCTTAAGTTACAAAATTCTCTGCTGTTCTTTCAACTGAAATGCTGCAAACTTTGTTCTTGAAACTGTTCAGTTAGGTCCCGTTTCTAGAATGGATGAAAACGTGCTATCTTTTGCATCACTTCTGGAAACTCTTATCCTTGTGCACACGAAAGAGGCACTTCTTAATAGTTTCCAAGCTGTGGATGTTGAAATGTACATGATATAATGCATATTTCAATAAAATCTCTCCTTCAGTCATGTGCAACATTTCTCATTAAGTTATTTATATTTTCCATTGATTATTAGAATCCATGATCCAAAGTCTGCCCTGTAGTATTTCATGGCTTTTACTCTATAAAAATATAAATAAAAACACATGCTTAAAACATGTAGTAAAGTGGCTGTGGCGGTTAATCCAGACATAAATTGTTTGGTGGGTTATAATTTTAATTAACTCAGATCATGTTGAAAACCATGAAGTTGACCCTGAATCTATAGAATTGGAAAGAGTTGCTAGTTTATCATAAGCTCTTAGAAGTCACTAGTTTTTGTATGAAAATTGATGGTATTATATAGTCCTTTGGGAGAATGCTGGCAAGTAAGCAAATTAAACTGAAAGAGAGCAGCATGTTGTCATAGCAACAGAGCAATTAAATTATGTTGTCAGCCATGATATAATTTTCCTATTTAAAAGCTTGCTCATGGGATATAAGTTCTCTGTACTGAATGCATTTGGCTACATTGCTTTCAACTAAAGGCGGGGAGATTAATGTTTTAGGGATACACGTTGCAGTAATCTCCCTTACTTCCCCAGTGCTTCCATGTTTCAGTGTACTAAGAATGTCTTCACTAGGCAGCATTTCTTCACACTGAAACAGCATTGTGAAGAAAAACAGCATTGAAAACCCTCTTTGAGCAATGTTTCCGGGTACTCTTACTATCTACCCCCCCTTCTTTCAATTGAGAGATATGTAGTTTCCATATGTAATTTTAAAGAACACCTTAATCACATTTTTCTTTTTAATGATTGAACTTTGCTTTAAGAGTTATCAATACATGTTCTTGTTAGTAGCAGTGTGGTATGAAATAGATTCATTTAACTTTTTCAGATATTTTAATATTTTTCAATATTTCAGTTTCATTTTTATTCAGCTCTTATCTCCAAGAATCTTGTTCTTGTTCTTTTTGTGTTTTTTTCTTTAACTCACCTTACTGACCTCTTTTGTAATTTATTTCACTGTTTTGAAACATCAGCATCAAGTCTTTTTACATAGATTTTTGATATGTCATATCTTATTAAATTATTGTGATTTTTTTACATTCAGCTTTTCAACATGCAGCTTTCGATTATCTACTTGGTTTTCCATCCAAGTACTAATCAGGATACATGCTGTTTAATTTATTTCCATCAAACGGCTAAAAAGGCTTATTAAACAAATATAGACTATTTCTGTAAAGAAATATATTTATTTTAATTTAGAGATCCTAGTTTTATAGTGATGTATGAACATGCTTGAACTTTGATTATATTTGTGGTATATTTGTCAAACTGTGCCCAAAGCAACCAGTATTATCTTTATAGGTGGCATGGAATTTTGCATGTGGCAGAAATACAACTAACACGAGCAACTTAGCCTATACTTTATCATAAAAGCCTTGATTGACCTAAGCCATGATGTGGAGTGATGGTCAGTATCTTGAGGATGACAATAATATATGGAATACTATTGAAGATAGACAAAATAATGAATTGTTGTTAATCAACTTGTTTCAGATAAAGAGTAAAAAGCTTAAGATGTGGCTTTGATTGCTTAATCTTGATAATGGAATTCAGGTTTAATAAGTTTGTAATGCTTTCTCAAATACTTCCCTAACAAATATCAGATAGTTAAGCCATTTGTTTGTACACATTTTCTAGCTTTGGTTAGCCTGATCTATTTTTGCATACTATTCTCTCAGCCCAGTATAGCAACAACAGTATCTACTAATCAGTGTATGACATCACTGTTCATGCTTTCTTCTAAGTCATGCTTATCACATTCAGTGTTTACTGTAATTTCAGCTAAATTTGTCGTTGTGGGGGTGAATTCTTTTTCTGTATATGCATCTTTTCTCTGCTTCTCTAACTTGTATTTAGATCACTGAAACTTAATTCTGAATGCATACCACAAATTCTGTTGCAGTTTCTTTGGGAAGCTAAGTGAATGCTTGGTTGTAAATGTTTGTGTGTATGTGTGTGTGTGTGTAAACATGGAGTTTTGCCTGTTTGTGTGTTTTGCCAAAGTTAGAGAGGCTATAATTATAATATGGCTGTGTTCACACTGGAAGTGAAACAGCTGAAATTAACATGAAGCAACTGGTCTTAAGCTCTCAATTTTGTATGGTTATTACAAACAGTAACAGTTTTTATGACCAGTGATAGTGGAGTCTATACTAACATGCTTGTTTGGGAGAAAGTACAATTGATAGCATTAGTTTATTTTTCAAGTGAATGGATAAAGCATGACAGCCTTATTTTAAAAGGGCACCAACCTATTTTTGTTGTGGTTGTTTATAGGCAGAAAAATTAATGTATTTCAAAAAATGCAATAATGTTTATTGCAAAAATTAAAATTCCATCATTGTCTTATTCTCTGAATGTTGCTTGTATCAGTCTGGATATGTGTGGGTGGGAGGGTTCATAGTCACTAGACTTCATAAAAGGCCCTAGTGCAGACTAGGAAAATGTTTGAATGTTATTTTCTTTTTATCTATCTAACTTTTTTTCTTGTAAAATTTGGTTTTATTTTATTAGGAGCCTCAGACTAAATGGGTCCAGTTATGCCTCCTAGTAAGAAGCCAGAGGGCTCGGGAATTACCATTTCCAGCGGACTGAGCCAGTGTTACACAGATGGTGACCTATCAAAAACTCTACAGGATGAAGAAGACTTAGATTTTTCTTTGCCTACTCTTCGATTGGAAAAAGGTCCCATAGAAGATGAAGAACTTACCAATTTGAACTGGTTACATGAAAGTAAGAACTTGCTGAAAAGTTTTGGGGACTCTGTCTTAAGAAGTGTTAGCCCAGTTCAAGACCTGGATGATGATACCCCTCCATCTCCTGCTCATGCTGACATGCCCTATGATGCCAAGCAGAACCCTAACTGTAAACCACCATATTCATTTAGCTGCCTCATATTTATGGCCATTGAGGACTCTCCAAACAAACGGCTTCCTGTGAAGGATATATACAACTGGATTTTGGAACACTTCCCTTATTTTGCAAATGCTCCTACTGGATGGAAAAATTCTGTGAGGCATAATCTGTCATTAAATAAATGTTTTAAGAAAGTGGACAAAGACAGAAGTCAGGTGAGGCTGGAATAATGTCTGTAAAATCCATTTAGTCTTCTAATCTTTATTACTACTTTGGGTTTTGGGTTTTTTTTTTTGTTCTAGTTAAAATGGATCAAGCAGTCCTGTGTCTCCTCTTTCCTCTCTCCCAGTATTACTTCATGCATTTGAAGAAATAGTATTTGCTCTCAAGTGGTTCATTTATAAAACATTGAATTTTTTTTGTCTAGACAGCTGTAAGATATTTGTATAAATATGTAGTATGCATTTTTAAATTCCATTTTATATCTCTCTCTACAATACCAATATAGGGTATTTTGTTTTACTGATGATTTTGAGACATACCAGGTGCATGTAATCACATAGAATGAGTTGAATACTATGCTTGGCTTTATATACGTCTGTGCAGTTTTTGCTTCTCTTCCACTTTAATTGAATGTGAAGAAATTGATTTCTTAGTGTTGCATGCATAGACCTTTGCAGTCTTGCAGTTTTCTGTTTATTACTAAACAATTTTACTATTTTATATTAATATTAATATTTTTATATTAATATTTCATTTATAACCATCTGCTGTAACTTTGGTTTATTTTGGGTTGCTTCCATGCACGGAACTGGTGAGATCTGTATCTTAAGTTCAGTAAAATTCACAGATTGACCCATCGGAAAAAAATCTAGTATCAAAAAATATGTTTTTGGTTTCTGTTTGCTTAAGTTCGGATAAAGTATTTGAACTGAGGAGAAGTGAAAGCCTAAGTTTTGCAAAAAAGAAAAGCACTGGGAGTTGAGATAAATAGCATATATACAGATATTCCATTCAGGATTGCATTTTACAGAAGATGTACTTAGTCTTTCTGGTCTGTATTTTATCACTGGCAGCAGATCTGCAGATTTAAGCAACTGCTGCCTAATTGTTTGCATTAAAGAAGCAAGAATTGAATGTAGGACCATCTTTATACCAACCTTGTTCTCTGTGATTGGAGAATGATCTCTTGCCATTGTGTTAGTTGTTGAATTATATCATCCAGCATTTTATTGAATCTGTTATGATCTAAATCTTCTTGGAGCTGCTTCTGAGACAAAACAGTATTTCTATTAGATGGTAAATCTTGTCGGTAAAATGTGAAAGCTGAGATTAAGAGTGATTTCAGGAATGTTTATATCTTGCACAGCTGTGTTAGAAGCAACACATGAATGATATTTGTGCAACATACATGGTGTTATTATGATTGATGTCTCATTTCTATCAAATCTAATGCATTTTAGACTTTCTGTGAGGCACAGCAGTTAAAAGTCTTAAAAGTGCATGGTACTAAGATCAATAACATTTGAATTAAAAGCAGTTTTTGATTTAAAAAAATATTTATATTTGTACAACATTTTCTTTCTCCAAAGTGCTAGTAATTGTAAATAACCTACTGAGGTATTTGGTAACCCCTGTTTGAGGAAAAGATATTTGATATTCAACAGGCTGAAGCAAATGTTGCAGATTATTTTGAGCATTCTTTGGTGTTGGATTCTTTTGGTCGTGCCTGTGTGTGTGTGTGTGTGTGTGTAAAAATATCAGAAGAAAGGAATAATGCAAGCATAACATTTTTTCAGATGTTTTTCTTTCAACTATTCTGCTGTTACCTTTCTGTACTCATGTCCCACTTTCCTTTGGGATCAAGCAGCCAGATACTCTTATTTCTGTTGTGTTAACATCTCTTCCAGCTGTTTGTAGTCTCCTACTGAGAGACTGATGAAGGTTTTTAAAATGTGATATTAAGTTATAGGTGGAGTGGATGTATTAACTTAAAAATCAAGGTGTTTTAGTCATGAATTGTTAGGAAAAAATAAAGAATGCCTTTAAATCAAGTTTCTAGTTTGCACTTTCAATATTTCTTTTAAAAGATGCATTGCAGTTGCTAGCTCTGTTCTGAATTTTTTTTCGCATCTAAATAAAAACGCATACTCTGAATATGTTCACACATTACACTGAAGTACACTGAACCAAAAACTAATCAACATATTTTAGCCTAATATCCAGAAATAGGACAGATTCATGTGTTATCAAGTTTTAGAAAACTGAATTGAGTAAACTATGGTTAGGTTAACCAGTATAAAAATATATTGTACAAATATATCCTCTATGTTAAAAAAAAAAGCATATAGGTAGTCTGTGACTTATAACCGGAATGTGGGCTCCGTATAGTTGTAAGTTGTCACAATAGTAAGTTGAGACACCATGTGACTGAACTGAATTTTATGACCATTTTTATGATGTTCATAGAGAAATTCACTGTTGTTAAGTGGTTGTTAAGTGAATCACATCACTAGGTATATCCAGTGGGTGCTTTTTGCCATTTTCTACTGGAAAGTGGTAAAATGTCTCAAATTGTGTCACATGACTGTCTGATGCTGCAGTCAGTTGTAAACATGAGCCGGTTGCTAAGCGCCCAAAATGAAATCATGTGACTGGTGTGTGTGTGGTGGTCATAACTTCAAGGATAGGCAATAGGTAGCTTTTTTGAAGTCCAGCCTAACTTCAAATGGTCATGATGAAACTATAAGTCAAGGACTACCTTTACAACACATTCCACATAGATACGGTGTTATCTAGGGCATGAAACAGTTCTATTTTTCCAGGGGATGAGGATGATTGGACTATAAATTCTATGCTTCTCAGCAGCATTGTCTATGTTAGATGGGATACGAGTTTGAGGATTTCTAGTTAAACTCAAATATAAGATACTGGCTTGAGAACATTATCTTACACAAAGAATGCATTCATTTTTAGGCCAGGCATCTAGATCAGTGTTTTTCACAGATTGTACCACTTTTAGGATATGGCAATATTCAAGTACCATCAGTCACTTAACAAGGTGTCAAAAACTTGATGACCAAAAATAGAAAAAAAGTGATAAAGTACAGGTAGTCTTCGACTTACAACAGTTCGCTTAGTGACTATTACAACAGCACTGAAAAAAGTTACTTATGACCATTTTTCACACTTATGACCATTGCAACATCCCCAGGGTCATGTGATGTACATTCAGATGCTTGGCAACTGATTCATGTTTATGATGGTCACAGTGTTTGAGGGTCATGTGATCTCCTTTTGCAACCTTCTGACAAGCAAAGTCAATGGGAAAGCCAGATTCACTTAGCAATTAGTGTTACTAATTTAACAACTACAGTCATTCATTTAACAAATGTGACAAGAAAAGTCATAAAATGGGACAAAACTCATTTAACAAATTTCTCACTTAGCAACATAAATTTTGGGCTTAATTGTGGTCATAGCTTGAGGACTATCTCTACACCCACATCACACTTTTAATGGGAAACTTGTGCCTATTTCTCTGACATTAATCTTTGCACTGTTCTATCCCCTGCTCTCCCTCTGCTTGACTCAAAGAAGCCTCTCCTCTTCTTTGTCTCTCTTTCTCCGTCCCCTTCTCTTTCCCTATGGTCTTTTTCTCTCTCCCTCTCCCACAAAACCTCCTCCTTTTATATCCTCTCCTCTCTCGCTCCTCGTCCTTCTCTTCTCTTCAGTGCAACTCCAGCTGACTCCTCTCCCCCAGCCTGCGAGCTGCTCTGTCTCTCTTTCTCCGTCCTCTTTCCCCATCATCTTTTTTTCCCTCTCACTCTCCCGCCCAAACCACCTCTTTTATACCCTCTCCTCTCTCCCCTCTCCTCCTTTTCTCTTTGGTGTGACTCCAGCTGACTCCTCTCCCCCAAGCTGTGTGGTGCTCCCGGAAATGCCAATCATCTGGAGCCCACGCCAATCCTGGGTGCTCAGCAGAGCCTCCATAACACCGCAGCTCCAGCTGACTCTCCCACAGGCCTGGGCAGCGATGCCGCCACTTTAGCTCATTCCCCCGCTACACTTTTACACTTTTTTACACTTGTTTTTTACAGTGTTTTTCAACCCGTCGTACACATACCATCTGCCAGGTGCCGAAGTACCCTGGGTTGAAAAGCACTGATCTAGATTTTCTTTTTTTATGCTATTAGTTACAACAGTACTAAGGTGCTAGTAATGCTAGTTCATAACTTGAAGACTGAACAAATTGCAGAGCTCAGCTAATTAGCATTCATTAAATAAGTATGTATAGCCTCAATGACATATGCATTGATACTTTGGGGATCAAACTTGAAACTTGATGCATTGCCAATGTATTTCTCTTTGATTAAGTCTCGAAAAATACTTTTCTATACTTGGAAGAAAAGTATTTTTTTGTATTTCTTGTACTTAACATGTAAGTTTACAAATCTGATAGTTTTTACTGCGGTTTATTGTAAAATATCAAAATACTATTGAAGTTTGGTTCATGGATTATTGCATTTGAAGAGATGATTAGGCATTGCTTTACTTTATTTGTCTAGAACCTGTTTGTTTAATTCTTCAGGTGGTAGGCAGAATAGAAATATTATAAATAAATTGGTTTTATGAGTTCAAAACCATGTTTTGAAAAATATATAATGTGGAATGCCATACGGATAGCCCTCGAATTACAACAGTTTGTTTAGTGAACATTTGAAGTTACAGTGGCACCGAAAAGACCATGGCAGCATCTCCATGGTTATATATATTTAACAAATGTCTCACTTAGCAACTTTAATTTGGGGCTCAGTTGTGATTTTAAGTCAAGGACTACCTATATTATTTGAATAATTCCATTGTGAGCTCTAATTTCCATGATGTTATGATGGATGTAAGGTGTTATACAACCTTATGCATTTATGTTGCTCTTTGAATATTTTTCTGTTAGTTATTGTGTGAAATAAGGTTATTGAGGAAAAAATAAAAATATAAATAACAATTTTATGAAATCTTTGCCTTCCTTATGAGTAAAGTTTACATCCTGTAAAAGCAATAGATGCCACTGGATTTTTACATTGGATTTTCCTTTACTTCTTTATATACTTCCTGACTTTTATAATCTTTGAAGTGGTAAAATGGTTAATTTTTTTTTTTTTACCAAAGTTGTTATATCGCAAAGTGTAATTGTAATTTAAAAAGTGGTTTATCTTTATTCAGAATTTGAGCTATGTAATTCCCAAAATAGAACCTTATAATTTGATTTTAGAATGTCTGAAGATTTTTTTTAACATGCAGCTCAAAACTTTCCCAAAATAATAAAAAAGCAAAACTTAGCCAGTACTAAGTTATACATAACACCCCAAATATCTTTAGCATTTAAATTAATGTTTTTCTCTTTTCTATCTTAAGCTTTTTATTCTTTTGGCAGTTCAGACTTAGTTTTGTTCAGCTGAAACTTTTTAGTAATTTAATGTTTTGTTGAAATTCATTAGAACTTTGTCATGCACTTGGCACCATTTTCTGTTTCAGAAAGAGAGCAAATTGAGGTACACAACAATTAAATGGAAAATAAATGCTCATTTATTTTAGACTTCCTTTTATAAATTGTCTTATTATCGTGAGTATCAGTATATGTACAGTATGTGCTTTGGTGGCTATAAAACATTTGGGATGCTGCAAGAGCTGGTCCGAGGAGTTTCTTTTTTAAAGCAAACTCTAGAAAATGGTTTGCATTAACCTTGATTTTTAGAGAATAGGATAATTGTGCTTGCCATTTTCCTGTTAGATTTATTCCCATGAGTTTAGGGATATTTCCAATAGAACAGAGGTGGGAGGTAAGCTACAGCAGAAAGGAAAAATTCCTAGAAATCAAGAACACCCCCCTTCCCTTGTTCAAGCATTTTTTTATTTATCCTTTGTCAATCCTGACGTTGATCCAAATGTTTTAAAGAACTCTAAGAATATTGGTTTGCCCTTTTGATATATTTGAGTGCAACATGTTATATTAAACATATGGTTCAGCTATACAGCAGGGGTGTCAAACTCGCAACGTCACGTGATGTGTCACAACGTATTATGACTTTTTTTCCATTGCCGGCAATGGGGTGGGTGCAGTTTCGCCATGACGCATCCGGCCCCTCGGCCGGCAGTTTGACACCC